AAGCGCATGCTCTGAGAAGTACAAGGATCCATGAGCATTATGAGCGTGACGACCTGACCATACAGTTTGGACAAACTGGTTCGCTGGCTGGAGGCCTGTCTGAATGGAGGGTGGAGTCTCGTTGGTTTGAGATTGTAGGTCGAATTGTTGCAAATGACGTAATCGAACAGTTAAGTCGTATATATATATATATTTATGTATAGAATATATATATATATACTCTTTTTACAGGGCGCACTGGAATTAGGCTCCACCTGTAGCCGTGGGGTAATGCCTTTTTCTGTGGGTCATGCAGCTGCTGTTGCATTGAAATTGGAATGACACCCAGCAGGGATATGATCAGAGTGGCAGGATCCCACGTGTTTATATCTTCCACGTGCCAGGTCCGCCTGGTACTGATTTAACATATTATGTTTAGACCTGTCGTCACCAAGCACAGCAGGCAAGCGGCAAGTGCAGGAGTCCATTTGAATTGGAAAGTAAGAAACCTCTCAAGAAAGTGCAAAGTAAAGCTGAAGTGGATTCTTGAAAGAGCGGCAGGTTGATCACTACACTTTACGTAGTGAAGGATTGGAGACTTCGGCAAAAATGAAAGTGTCCTAGGCATTGCACTTATCCTCACACTTGTTTGCTTCTTGTAGCAACTGTTGTTCTGCTTGAAGGCATTGCCTCAGCAGGAAGCAAGGCCTTGAAAGTTTGGCCAGTAAATGATGTGCATCTTTAAAACAAAAACACTATATCTATATATATAATATAGACACACACACACGTGCACACACGGTTCTGCTTTCCGTGATATGCGCACACACACACACACGCGCGCGTGATATCCTCGGAGAAGCCCATCTGGATTTGGTGGGCTTCATGATGAGTGGAGCATGGCCAAGACCTGTTGGAGGACAAGTTGTCTCCTACAAAAAGCCAAAGCCGTTTCTGCTCTTACTTGCAACACCAAGTCAATTCGGATGAGAAATCGTATCATCAAGTCCTCATCAACTCCTTTGATCCCAAGTCAACCTTTTCTTCTTGTTCTCTGGCGACTCCTGCCTGAGGCCTGGCATGCCCCCAGGCTTCCCTGCAAGGCCTCCAGGAATTCCGTCAGGCTCTTATGGCTCTTATGGTTGGTTTTGTATGTGGTTTAGTTGGTGGATGTTGCCCAATTCTTCTCTGACCAAAGTCGTTTGTGAAGGCTAAAGTCGTCCCGGATTTCTTTCAACAGTACGTAGCATGTGTAACAGGATGCCCCCCCTAGCCCCTGGGTTTGGTTGTTTTTTCTTGCCAGGCACTTGGCTGGGGTTTGTGTGGTGATGACTGTCATGCCGTCCAAGGGGCATGGTGCCTCCTGGAATGCCTGGAATGCCGCCCGGCATGCCTCTGCCAGGAATGCCAGGCCGTTGTGCCGGCTAGATTGGGCAGAATATGGACTTTGAGCAAACTGCAAAATGCATGCAAAATGCAACTCTAGAACGAGTTCTCAGATGGTCGTTTCTCAGATGTTCGTTGCATTTCTTCTAACTTCTAGTACTTGTTGCTGCTTTTATCCACGAAGTAAAGACAGATGCTGCCAGGTGATGGGTTCACTGGGTGCAAAAATCAGGACCCAACCACCATTATGGACTTTGGGCTGTGTCATCGCTAGCCATTTGATCAGTCTTAAACCGGAAGCACATTAAACCACCGAAATCACAGGATTGTGCCGGTGCCTTCATGCTGTACTAAACTTGAAGAAAGAAATCCAGGACCACGTGCGATGCGTAAACCTATTGGAGGAGTAGTAATTATATAGATATCCTTTAGAATACGTGGTGCAAGGAGTTGCTCCTTGAACAGCATGGGAGGTCCATTTGCTTGGGTTTAACGTCCTCTCCTTGAGCCGTGTTGAACTTCTCTGAATCCGAAATAGACGTGCTCCGTAAGGAGACCCCCGCGCACATCGGATCACTTTGAAAGCCACAGTGAAAGCTAGAGGTTTTTCTCATGGTTTCGATCTCGCCGATTGCTGGTCTCGGTCCCTTGGGTTTGGAGCTTATTGGAGACATGGAGCCAAATGGCGCTCGGCAGGCATGGGACGTGGCATGCCGCCGATGGGACGCGGTGCATGAGCGGTGCAGTTCCGTGGATCCCAGAGAAACTTCACTTGGATGGAAGGCAGATGAGATACTGTATCATGCTGCAATTACTGTATTTAATATGGGAAAGTGCCATGGGCATCAAGAGCAGTGTTTGATGTTAATCTCCTTTTCTCTTAAGTGAAGGTGAACGAGCTACGCTTAAATACATCTTACGACCATTCACACGCACAGTGAGGCCAATACTCAGGAACGATGACAGGAGATAGACATGCGTTTGTAGTCTAGGCTTCCCTAGGAGACAACAGATGATCAGAGGGTTTCGACCCAGAGTGTGATCATAGAACTTCCTTATTTGTCCACAGTTTGGACCTGTGCCCCACCTGATTGAACCCCTTTGCACCTCCAAGCTGTTTTGACATGCTGATCACAAGCGGTTCTGCGAGGTGGCAGTAGTCAGTAGCGCCTTGAGGCGGCTTGACGAGAAAGGTATCAGCGAAGGAGAAAGAAAGCCGCAACAGACGTACCAGGAGCTGCAGTCCAGAGTAAATCGCACAACTCCTTAGACTAAGACCGCTTCAGATGGTACATCCATGCTTAGTATATATATATATATTATAACGATATAAGCTACCTCTGGCACATAACAAGATGCATGTTGATGACATTAGTTAAAACCCTGTTGGGACGCATCTTTGATACAGTACACCTCTCAAGGTTTGTCAGTGAAGTTGAGCATTGTACAGCACCGCTTTCCACCCTGCAATCATTCCTTTTCTTTCCACTTTGCAAGTGGGGTCCCCTTTGACCTTTGACGATTCTGGCCATTTGTCACCGCTGGGCACACCTCTCGTTTCTCTCAAAGTCTGAAACACTGCTGGGTGCAACGGAGTGCATATTCCTCATCGACAGATGTTTCATCATGTTTCATCTACCTAGAAACGTCCTTGCTCCTAGTAGCGATGCCAGGAGCCCCTAGTAGCTTCTTGCTCCTATATAGTAGTAAGGCTTAGTAAGGCCAGGCGATCCATTGCACACGTTGAACACCCAGGTTTGTTTGCGCGTGAGTATGTCACAAAAATGAGGAGAGCTCCCCACCCCAAGCTCTGCTTGGAACACGATCATAAACATATTGGATATGATTAAACGACACATGATTAAAGCTTGTATATGTATATATATATTATCTATATGGAGATATGATTAAGGTTTCAGAAGCCTTTTGCAGACAGAAAGCCTGGAGGCAAGTGATGCACATCACTTGAGACCAAGTAGCATGTATGGCCCGGTATCGCTGCTTAAGCTTGGTGAACTCCATCCTTTGAGGCCCAAGGGGCAGATCCCCGCGGCATCTGTTGGGGTGAAAAGTGCAATGAAGCCATGACAAAAAGCGTGAAAGGTGTTCGAGAACGAGGTATTAAAGTCGCAGATGAACTGAGAGGTGCTAGAATCTGAGGGAATAGGTTTTCACGTCTTCCACTCAATCGAACAGAGACAGCAAGCAAAAACAACAATTCCTATACATACAGATACAGTACCGCCTACGAGATTTCCGAATTCAGACCCAGAAGTCGTAGGAAGAAACCCAAGCAGACCACGCGCTGTGGGGTTCAACCCCCAAACTCACTGTTGAACGCCATGGATATGAGGCCGCCACCGGAAGCGCACGGGATGCAGGATGTGAGCCATTGGGTATAGGTGCCCCACAAATTCGAAACATGTTCAACTACCACATTCGGTATGGAAGCAGGCGTCTTTGTTTTTGATTGTTTTTCGCAGGCAAAATTGAGGCTGTTGAGGACCTATTGCAGTTCTCAAGCGTGTGGGTTTGTGGCTCCGTAGCCCGTGAAAAAGACCCTCACCAGGCAGCAAGAAGACTTGTCACCGAGGGAACTGTTGAGCTCGAAGCTTCTTGGTTTGGATAGGGCGATGTTTCTCTACCAGGCACCTTCTCAGGACATACAGTGACATACTTCACAATATCTCCGATGGTTTTTCTCATCAGTCCGATCACATGTCTGATTCATCTCTTGGGTGCCGTCCTCGAGTGGTGCACATGTGAGGCCGCCGCCACCGCCCCCTGGTGTGAGCTTAGTCCGGGCACTCAGAGGGCAGAACCTCCGGACCACGAGGCCACGCGGGACGACGGGAATTGGCCAATTTGGGTGACTTCCATGACGTCAGAGTGGAGATGGGACTGCCACAAGTACTAGTAGGGTTGACACTGGTTTAGGATAATATGTTAAATCCAACTTTCTTCTCAAGGTTTCAAGAAGTAGTGACCAACTTGCTACCAGTGCCTTTTTCCTGCATATTGACGGAAGATGGCACAGGTGGGGTGCCTGCTGGTTTGTAGATGTTTGGTAGAGTTTTCCCTTTCAAAGACTTGTTGGCAATCCTGGAGCACACTGCACACAATGTAGATTTGTGGCACTGGAACCAGTTTTCATTATACATTTCGACGAGCATTATAAAGAGTGAACCATTGCCCAAGCAAACTCATTTTTGCATTTTGGGGTTGGGGCAGGCGCTAAGGGTTTGACAAGAAGTAGACATAACATCAGCAACGTAAGTCTTGGCAAGGTCTTCGGCCATCACCCAGCTATCAACCAGCAGGTCATTGGGGACATGTGCGACAAATGCTTTTTGCTTGCACAATTTCCACAACTCTTTGGAACATCCCACACCTTCTCCCTGAAAGGTTTGTGATCCGGCGCTTACTCTCTTTTGCACGTGTGGGTTGGGTAGGAGCATGTTTTTCTCAGAGTCATACTTCTCATCGAAGACCGCTGCACTTTCCCCAGCAAATCAGTCCCTTTTCCTGTCTTTGAAAACCGGGTCTCAACATATGGGAACCCGTGGATTTTTGGGTGTTCCAGCAGGTTCAGCTTGGGCTCACCCTCTTAGGTTCCATACCTTTTCTTGCCATCTATGGGACTCTCACTGTTGCTGGGCAACCGTGTAGCTGCGGAGCAACTCGCTGCTCAGTTTCAGGCGCAGCAAGCGCAACAGCTCCAGAGTGCCAAGTTCGGTGGTGCCTTCCCAGCGCCCAAGCTGCCCATCAACATGGGCGCACAAGGTGAGCGGAGCAACGACGGACGAGTCTTCTAACGAGCGGGAGTGGACATACAAGTCACTTTGGTCGTCCAATTTGGTCTTGATTCTTGATGAATTTGTGATGAGATGGTTGATGCCTTGCGGTCAAAGCACGGGTTTGAGAACGCATTTGCTGACCCCAAGCTCTTCAACGATGATCTCAACTGTTGGCTTCCAACTTCGCTTGGAGGTATATACAGTAGTGCAAATATTTGTAGATATTGGAATAGTGGTATAACACAGTAGATAGACCAAGACACTGTTGATAGAAATCCATCACCTTTGATTCTTTCTGCAAGGCCCGGGTGGCAGCTGGCCAAATATGCAAGGCAGGGTGGGGTGGTGATGGACCTGAACCAGATATGGATGTGTCTGAAAATGAAGGGATGCTTCAAACGACTGGATGTTCTTCATTCCTCATCCTAGCCGCCGATCCTATCTTGAGCCACGTGGTTCATGCACAAATGTTCTTAAGCCACGTGTATTCTATCAGTCCTTGCACAATGATTGAAAGAATCGGTTGAACAAAAAAGAGCAGACCTGGAAGGAGACATTAGCAGCTCCATGTGTCAAGTTTTGCTGGCCCATGAGCCACCCCATCTTCTCTTCGCTGGGCCCGGCTGCACATGCCAGGAGGGATCCAAGGCGGTATGACACAGCCGGGCATGTGGGGAAGCACAGATGGCCTCGGAAGGGCATGGAAAGCACGCGGTTCGCGCGGCGACGCAACGAGCGCAGTCTTCGGACAAAAGGCTCAGCTGCAAAAGCATCTCTTTCCTTCGAGCGTGGTGCCATTGACTGTAGCTGTAGGGGGTCCTTTGCCTTGATCACTTTGAACAGTCCAGGCTCATGAGGAGAAGACCAACGGATTGACATCGGACACAGAATACCATGCCAGACATTGCAAGTGGAGACTTAAAAGAAATTGATTTGGTGTTCAACAAGCTAACCAATCTCAGCACATTTTGGAGGGGTCAGGTGTGGTTTGTCACGTGTGTGATGTGAGGTCTAATGGCTTGCAGCCAAGCGTGGGCATGAAAGGCGGCCGGGCACTCAGCTTCAAAAGCCGCAGAGGTGGAGGTCTTGGATTGGTCTCTTGGACATCCACAAAGTTGTTCATGTTATTTGATGCTATTTGTGTTTGCTTTACAGGGGGTTGCCGTGCTCAAGCTTTCAGCAACGTCAAGCTCTGGTGATTCCTTTCTTGCATTGAAGTGCAACAGATGTAGACAGATGTCATCAGATGTCGGATCTCACTCCCAACCACTGAAAGGTGAGAGTGTTGAGAGTCATGGTCCTTTGCAACCGTCGATTTTTGTCTTCTCCGTCACATGAAGATGTGGTCTGCAACATGACCAGTGGGTGACACATCTTCAGTCGGCCGACCCTTGGACAGACTGATTGGACTCTGCCGTTCACGAGGTGCTGGTGGCATGCGGCCGAACTGGACCAGCATGCCGTAGCTCGGCGTTTGTAGCTCACGGAGTTTGTAACTAACGCATCACCTGAGTATTGATGTGGATTGAGTCTGCGCGACCTCGAATTACGCGATTCCACGGGCAAAACATTTCGGTCACACTCGAAAGTGCGGTCCCATTCGTTTTTGGATTCTCAGAGATGGACCGCTTGGCCTTTAGAATCTAACGTCACCCATGTTGTGTCAGATCACGTTGGATGAGGAGGCCGGAACTTTATTTCAGCATCAACCATTTCCCCACTGTATTTTGCTAGGCTGCTTCAGCTTTCGGGTAGATGTTCGGCGAGAGATTCGTATATAGTGAAGGAGTTGTCCATTTAAGGCAAGGACTGTGTTTAATATCGTTTGGAAACGATCCATTATCGGACTGCTTTCAGTTTTCAACCAGGTCAAACAAGACCAACTGCGTTAAGAAACAATACTGTAGATATTCGTAGTCCTGTGCACGTAAGAAGGGATAGTCCTAGATTTGGGTCTTGTGCTAGATATGCAGATGGGTGTTAGGACTGATGGGCCATGTTGAAACCCGGTGTCCCTCAATCTGCTTCCGTCGCACGCTTTGGTCAAATTGCTGGGCCCAGGACCCCAAAAGGAAGGAAAGGGGTCTTTTCCAAAGGGACACTTGGACGCTCTGTGAAGGCAAGAACCCGTCTTTATTTGTAGACCAGACGATTCATAGTCCCTGCAAAACCATGCAAAGTCGGCAAGATTCCAGAAGGTTGCCTGCAGTTCTTCGGTGGGTCATGCAAGGTTGACAAACAAATCCCAAAACATCCTTGGCAGACACGTCCATGACTTCGCTGTGCAACGATGCCGGCACGTGTTTTCTAGACCTTCAAAAAGGGGGAAGGCTTTTGCCGTTTTCATTTGCCCAACATGTGTGGCTTTCCACTCATTGGGCTGGTGGAGAAACGGTCACGGTTCTGTGAGGCAGTACGGCCAAAACCTGCTTGGGATCCAAAGGGCGCTTGGGCCGCTCGGGGGCGGTAGAGTTGTTTAGTTTCGTGTTTTACTGGGTATCTTTTTGGTATAGTTGCTTTGCACCAACGTTATATGTTTTGTTGAGATACCTAGATACTAGATTCATACCCACCCACTCAGTGGATAACCTTTAACCCTTTTTGAGGAATGGTTTCCCCACCTAATATGAGTTGGTGGATGAAGGCTGACCTTTTTTCCTGGGAAACTGAGGGAGTCAGGATACTTGTTCTGGCCTCCACTCGGTGCTCAAAACAGCACCACCTGACTATCCGATGACTATCCTTTGGTGGGTCAGAGGGTGAAACAAAAGATGACTCGTTCAAGAGGTTGTTGCCATCAAACCCTTCAACACCAGTGTGCCTGAGTCACCTGAGCGTTTCCGTGCAGCGACACTTGACAATGTGCAAAGCTGTGATGGGCCTCGAGGTCGATAATTAAGCTTCATCTAGCTTCATCGAGCCTCCTACATCTCCTCACAGTAACTTGGTTTCCGGCTCCTCCCCTTGCCCCAGATTGAAAACGGGCCCAGGCCCATGCTGGAACTTCTTCTCCTTGACGATAATTCTGTTTTAGGTTTCCACCGTTTCCCGGAGTTCGCCAAGAACAAGAACAAGCTGGGGAAAGAGAGAAGGTCATTCATGGTCATTGATGGTTCATGTGGGACCACAGCCACGAGCAGCCACCAGGCCTCATCTTTTCACCACCAAATCAATCGGTTTTTGCAACCACTGAGGCCACCGGGTCAAACACAAGGCGGGGCACAGTCATTTCCGCAGTGCCTCGGTGGAGTCAGTCTGTTTCCGGGAGCGGATCTGGGTGGTGTGCGCAGGGAGAGAATCGGAGGGGCTCCGGCTTTTCAATGAAATTGTCCAAATTGGGTTGGACTGGGACCCAAACTCCCGCTTAGTTGGTTGGACAGCAGTGTGCGCTATGCGATATCACGGAGCGCTTTTGTTTGCAGAAGGTGAGGAGACCTGGTCGGGTGACACTGTCCGAGATGTCCTCCGGCACTAGTGCAGAAACCCTCTTTCATGCTAACCAGTGCAGTGAGTATAGGTCCGGGAAAAGAATGCTTGGTGTCTGAACCGGATGACATCTAGGGCGAAGCAAGCGGACTTGCTCATCAGTCCTGGGTGTTAGTTGGCTATTGCTCGAATCACTTGGTTTCTTTTCTGCTGAGTTGGCGAGGAATGATCATCATGGTATCCCGGCGTAACTTTTGCCTGCCGCCCTCGAACTCTTCGACGAAGCCGGGCGGAGAGGAGCGCCTTGGTTCGCCGAGGCAATACGGCGTGCGGGGCGGCAATTCCACCTTGCAGAGATCGAGACTTTGGCCTGATGAGATCCGTTGGTCGGTGGACACGGGGAGGCTCCGAGGGTTTTGCTCCGTTTTGCAACAGCACACTTATGTATGTGACCCCACACTCCAAAGGTGGCATATTGTGCATAGAATAGTGGACGCTGGTTTCGGGAAGAACAACACGTTCTAGGACTTGGCCCCCGCCCGGCCACCATTCAGAAAACCACCATAGACTACATGACTGTGCCCCTTCGCCTGCACTGCCTCTCGAGGAACAGCTATGGTAATGGAGGCCCCGAGCACGCTGTGGGTTCGATGTGATGACGAGAAAGGTCAGAATGGAGGAAACAGGAAGCAGAACACATGATGATTGACCAAGCAGAACTGCCTCCTTCACCTTCCTCACCTTCCTTCGACCCCTTGTGTAGGGTGGGACCAGACAATCTGGCTTGGGGGAAGCTAACAGCTGCATTACGAACCTTAATACAAGGTGCTTCTTGGGGTTTGAAATGGATTTTTCTGAACCCAGGCAAACTTTCAAGTTCAATACCTTCTATTATTATCTCCTGCCCAGGTTGGTTAATGAATGTGGATGGTGGGCGCACTTGACGCAGAGAGCAAAGAACTCTCCAGATGAATGACATTCATTTTGCAGACCATATACTTTTTGAGCGTACTCCAGCCAAGTGCAGGTTGACTAGATTCTAGTGGGGTACAGAAGTTCATGATGCAAGGTAGCAACTTGCTAGATATCAAGCGACTATCCATTACGCTCCATCTTCAACTCCATTTCGCTCCCCCAATTTGCAGGCAGTGGTCCGCAGGCGCAGGGCTGGACTCGAGTTTTGGATGGGTTTGGTGGGGTGAAATGCTGGGCCAAACGGTTGATTTTGCTCTGCCCAAGCATAGAGGACTTCTTGATAATTCTTGAGATGACGTCATGCACTGCTGCTGCGGCTGCTTTCGGTGGAGTGGTGTGTTTTCGGATGTGCTGAAACTTCGCAGCTGTGGTCCTTCGGAACTCAGACGTACAGGTCGAGAAAGCTCAGATCTCTTAAGACTGAATTGTGCGGTGTGGGTCGACTACTGGACCCACAGTTTTAAACAAACAATTCTGCAGTACTGGTCCCAAGACAGATCAACAGAGCGGGTTCAACGCAAAAGGCGACATGAGGGAATTTCAGTTCAGCGCCTTCACCCAACTCACCGGTCTTAGTCCTTCCAGGTTCAGGTTCCTTCTGTCTGCCATGGCGTTTGGCGATGCCAGAGCTCCAGCTAGTCTTGGTGCTTCTAGGGATTTCAGGAACCGTGACAGAGATACCATCAGCATGTTGGCCAACACGCGCAGAAGTGTTGAGAGCCAAATGTTGTAGTAATGCCACTAGCGCAGTGAGCAAACACTTGCCTTGCTTCACCGGCCTTTACACCTATGAGAATCTCGGCCGCGTGCTGACAGCAGTTCCACAAAAAGGTTTTCTGTTTTGTTTTTTTTTGGTTGGAGGAGTTAGAGGTGTACCGTCATCTCTAAGTGCGACCGTGGCGGAATTGAGGGTGGCCCCCTGACGGAAAGGACATGAATTTAAGTTCCCATGTTGCTGAGAGGGCGGTTGAAGCCAGGCAGATCTTGAATCAACGGACCACCGTGATCCTCAAGTACTCTTGGGACAAAGATCAAGATGAATCAAAATCCCTAGACACATCTAGACACCGTGCCGGACAATTCCGAGTCGGTCGTACGGCAGCCCAGGACTTGCTGTTTGGGATTACCCATTCCCTTTGCCTCCTGGCCTTTTCGCTCAGCGACTCGAGCAGACAGATTGCAGCTGGCAGTCCATGAAGATAGATGCCGGAGGTTTTGTACAATTGTGGGCCACCCATTGGGCATAGTTGACCTGTATACGTGCACCCACGGGTGTTTGTTAAACAACTACAGATGGGCGAGCTCGTTTTGCCCTCAGCAGTTCGTTTTGCATCGTTTTAGACTAATCTCGTCCCACCTGTCCCAGGGGGCACACCATGGGGCACACCAGGGGGCACGCCGGGTGCCCCGCTCTGAGGTGATGCTGGGCTTCCCTGGCTGTGGCACGACCTCAGCGTCCAAAGTGTTGGCGAGCCATCCCAATCTCAGCATGGTGAGTCGAGACCCGAAGGGTCACAGCCACTTGGCATGGGCCGGGGCTGGTTGCCGGTGGCCCAGAAAACTGTGCTGACCGGCCCAGAAACTGGATGCTGAGCATTGTTTTGATATCTATTTTGTATCTAAATCGATAGCATTTGGTGGACATTCCTTGAATGTTGACAATTCTGTTGGTTGCTTGGTCATTTGGGCATCAAGGGCACAGCCGCACAGCTTCAAACAAATCGATTAATCTCAGCCGTTTGAACTGCCTGTGAGCCTCACCTATCCCAACACAAATGCACCGGGAAACGATGATCAGCCACCGCATCCCCACCTGGATCTGTGAGTTCATAACGTGCTGTTTGCCTTCTGGGGATGGTTGGGTATGGATTGGTGTGTATATGTAGCTGAACAGACTAAGATAGCACGTCACGATCCGTGAGTATTTTTTAGAACAGTAGCATGTGTGTTTTCTCCAAAAAGAGCCTGTGGGCATGTCGAGCTGAGCTGCATAAGGATGGAATCGCCATGAGATGCAAGCCTTGAACTCCCTGATCTGGAGTAACTCTTATGATGCCGTCCTCAAGTTTGGGCGCACCATTGCTAGACGCTTAGATAGGTAGTTTGGTTGCTGAGCCAGTTGCTGCAGCTTTTCTTCTTTGTGATGTTTGGCCTTACCTTTATAGAAGAATCTTTGGGTGTTGCCGTGGCCAGTCCAAGGAGAGCTCCGGTTTGCTCGACATTTATACATGTCCGATCCGACAATTCTGCTCAATCTTGACAAAGCCGTAAGCATCACCTACATACGCAAAGCGAAGTTCGTGGTGCCTTGGAAGATTGCACTCTCCTTTGGAGCGCATTTTCCGCTTGAAAAAGACGGTCCATCCTGAGAAGTGGGTTGTTAGGTGATGGTTGACCAAGTAATGCCGCGTGTTTTGCTGGTTCTGACTCTTTTCCATCACCCAACACCGTCTCATTTGCAAGTGGGACGCCCGGGAACCAAAAGCCCACACAAAGGGTGTCCTCTTGAGCTATAGATTGGGGTGATATCATGCATCACCTTCAGTTACTAAGTAGCTTCTTGTTACTAGTAGCAAATTTACTTACTATAATTAGTGATGCCCTTGTACTAGTAGCGATGCCCTTTGCTACTAGTAGCTTCTTGTTACGCATTGATTTCCGCATCTTTTCCAGGTCATGGTGAGAGATCCTGCTCACTGGCTGGCCTCTCGTGTGTGCCGGGTGGCATGCACGCAGGAGCGCAAGCACTTAGGCCTCTGCTTGGATGAGGTGACCAGGGCACCACTGGACAGGCGGGCGTAAGGGATTGGAGCAGATACCGCTGATGTTCTCTTTTTGTCCCTCCGATGCTGCTTTTTCTCTTGGTCAACACATAGACATCAGAATTCACGTGGAACTGAGATCCTGTCCCCATCAAACAGTCTCAGTATATCTCAGTATTATATAATTAACTATGTACTGTAAGATGCAGTATTGAAGTGACCGAGGAATGCTCAGACCTATGTAAGCTTGAGTGGGCTGGAATGGTGCTCTTTACTAAACTTGGCTCCCAAGCAGACATGACAACAATACCACAAAAGATGGACATAGTTATATAATATTATAGAATATATGATATATATATATAATCCTGCTGTTCACAAATGGATTTACCGGAGATTCGATAGAGGCACCTGCTCAAGTTCAAGACCCAACCACAAGCAAACGTTGTTTGGGGTCGATGCTGATCTCTTTATCTCAATCCTTCTGCGGGTTGTGTGGGTTTCTATTTGAACAGAGGACCAGACAGCCCTATAAACATGCCGGTGTGCCATTTTACATTGTTCCCAGCCAGATGAACCAATCTCTACACTCGTCAGGGCCCTTCAGCCCAAGAGCCCTTCGCCTGTTTGGCCTTGGCCAGGTGGATTGACCAATGCAATGTGCCGAACTACCTCCAAACTTGGGAGCCTTGCACCGACTTCCCGTCCATGTCCCCCTACATGTCGATTCACCTGAAGCACTTGTACACCCTGATTTTGAAAGATGCAAGGCACCCTGTCAATGTCCTAATTCTAATAGCTTCTTGTTACGACTAGTAAGGCACTTAGTAAGGCTTGCTGGTTTTGAGTTTTGAGATGTGCTTTCCAAGCGTCTTGTTGACACAACTCCACGCTGGGTTTCCGGCGTCGGGTTTGGGAAGTGTTGCGTTGAGGCAACTGGCTGCTTTCAGTCTTGAAGCTCTTCAAGAAGATCCCAAACACACACTGGAGGCACTGGAACGGTTTCTGGGGCTGGAGCCTCGACAGCTGGCGTCCTTTCCACGGGAGAATGCACGCTTTGGCACGCATACGTGCCAAGCAGAAACTCCGAAGTGGATTAGAACATGCGGGCGTGGGTCAAAACAATCTTGGCCCTAAGGCCAATGCCAATTGACATCCTGGATTTGACCCACACCCCTGTTTTGTCACTTGCAAATGTTTGTTTTTTGCTGTCAAAAAGCACCACATCCTTGTTATTCAAGTCAAATGGCAGCAGTTCTGCAATTTATGTTGCCAACGTTGGGTTTGCCCCAATTGTCACTTGAAGCCGAGGCTTTGGTGCCAGGGACAGCTCAGTTGAAACACATATTAATATAGTCCAAATGCAATCCGTTGCAAAGGTGTGAGATACCTTCTCCATGAAAACTCTTGCAGTAGTACAGCAAGTGCTCAGCTCCTTTTTCATACTGAACGCCACACTCTCTGGAACCAGCACCCTCCACCAGTTCCTGCATTGTAGTTTCATACCCTCCGCCGGGCATTCGACAAGGAGATGCTGAAGGATTCACGGATTTATGACTTCTTCTACCAGGAGAGAAGACATGGGTACTGGGTGCCGTAACTTTGATAAAGTATCACCGATGCTGACATGAGAAGAACCTGGAAGGGGAAGATGCTAGTGACTCCTTGTTGGCTTTATGTTTTGTCGAGTCAGGGGACCTTCGGTTTTTCTGTGTGGTTTTCTGAGGACCCGGTCTTCGCATTACGTGACGAATCGGGACAGTGTATTGGCAAAAGTTAAAAGCTTTTCAGACTTTACCGTAGTCAATTGAATATGTTTGTGCTGAGACTGGCCATGAAACTACACAGGCGTTTGATAGAGATAAACCACTGGACACATGGAACCCTCTCTTCTTGCAGCCCTCCCAGGATGGATCTAGACGAATCTGGCCCAAAGAAAAGAATAATCTTGACAATCTAGCTCTTGACTGCCCAGAAAGCAAGACCAAACAACCCACAGTTGCTCTGTCGCACGCGCCGTGTTGGCCAGGAGCGTCGCCGCCTCGCTGGTCTACTGAAGCGCTTGTCCCCCGCACGAACGCGGATCCCCCGTGCCTGGCGAGGCCACCTGCGCAACCGCACGGGGCGGTCTATGACCTCGGAAGCGCTGAGGTCGAAAAGGAGGAACGCCCGATGTGGAGTGGAGCTGGATAGCTGGGTCCTGGTCCTATCTGCAGGTTGTTGATTTAATGTAACAGATTTCCTGCTTCAGTGGCAACTGATGTGAATCCCTTGTTTCAATGGTGTTCTCACGGTGAGCTGATCAATTCAGCCTAATATGAGGTAAACTTCTCAACCCCCTTCCACAATACTACTGTAGTGCTTTCTACAAGGCTGGGGGCCAGGTTACAGCTGCCAAATCAAGCAAGAAGGCTTTCAAACACACCATCCAATATGCCACATACTACAAACAAGAACCCTGCGTCCAAGATCTTCTAGGTCCTGAGGACTACTCCTCCCAACCCCAAACAAGAAGGCTTTCTTAGCTCCTTCTTGCAGCGAAAAGCCCGCAGGTGGTGCTCCCACCGCCCGGCGGACCCGGCGCGCTGCCGCCGCCGGGGGCTCCGCTGGCTCCGCCTGGGCCTCCGAACACCCCGGCGCCTCCTGCGCCTGCGCCTGCGCCGCAGCCACCGCTGCAGTATGGGCAGTTTGGCTTACCCAGCAGGGAATCCTAGAGATGCTGCGGGAACTTGGGGAATGAACGAATCACGAAAGAAGAAAACGACTTAGGGAATGAAGACATACTGTATCACATGTTTATCAGTTTCTTTGGGATGTCGACAATGTCGAGGTCACAGGGATTTGATCCTCTAGATGTCAATAGGGTCTCGATGGCGACGAAACAGCGCAGTGGGGTGTGTTCTGGCAGGGTTTGAAAAGAAACAGGTGCGCTTGTTACCCTCGTAAAGGGACATAAATGAAGACAAATGTTTGCTTCAATGATGAGCCCAACGACCAACTGGTAAAGGAATGCCCATCGAACGTAGTCATCTGGAATCTGAAGTGGGCAACCTTTCAAGACTGTGCCTTCATTACCCTTCAAGGGTTTGTTTCAGTTGTTTCCCCGATCTCTTGGTCTATAGGTGTCACATTGGTGTCGGTGTCCGGGGCGCATTTCGCCCGAAACAGCGGCGCGTCGCATCGATGCCGAGGCCGAAACAGCCATCAGCACCTTGGCAGGTTGACCTGGAGGTTCTAAACATAGCAAGTAGGGAACTTGGGCCTTGGCTTCATAGAGCAGAGAGCCTAAGGGCCTAGCGGGTTTTCGTAGTGTATTGGAACTGGGACCTATGGAAGCTAGACAAGTCAACAAAGTCAACTTCACGGTTGTGTTGCTTGTTCGGTATGTTGTTGGATGTTCAACCAAACACCACAGGATACACACGGACACACATGCATCCCCATGCTTCTGCATATCTGGATTGTTTGTCTCTGCAAGTATGGATTCAACGTCTACTTCCCAGCAGACACATCCTGCAGTGTCGCAACTAGCAACTGAGGCGTGGCGCAGCGCCTCCGCCCCCACCACCGCATCCTAACTGGAAGCCGGGGCAGCCACCGCCGCCACCAGGCAGGGTCTTAGAACACATGGCATGACACCGTGGACTCCTGGAAAACAGAGGAGTTCTTTCAACAAAAGCAGAATCACATCAAAGCTTTTTACTTTTGCATCGTGGTCATGTGGACCTGGGTTTGCCAAGAACAGTTTGGATTTGAGCCAAGAGTTCTGAGATGTTCTGAGGGCTCACTGTTCAGCGGCCCTTTGCCAGAACCCATCTCTGGAGGTCCAGGGCCACCTGTGCAAAAGCCTGGAGGAACTCTGGAGGCCAGTTCAAAGGATCTGCCGTGTTCGGTCGCAAGTTTATTCAACCTGCTATAGCGGGAAGAACGGCAGGATTGTGTTTCGTTCGGGCAGGAGACCCTTCCGACCTCTGTCATGTTTAGACACTATATTAATCAGAACTACAATTGATATACTCTTGTGGTTCCGCTTTCTTGAGAAACCTCCATCCAGAGTGAGTGAACTTGCTCTTGCTGTTGGCGAGTTCTTTTGCGTCCCGAAGAATCCAACTTTGACCCGGGTTTGAAGAAGAATGAGTGTATACCGTATGGTCATTCATTCTTTTTTTTTGCCCGCGGGTTAGTTCCTAGATGTTCCTAGATTTTTAGGAACACTTAATGATTTTAGCGTCTGCTCATGGTCCACTCCACTGTCTTTTCCTTCCTCCTCTCCATCTCATGGAAAGCTTCTGTGAAAAGCATTCTGAATTTCTCTGCTTGCTTGATTGCGTGCTGCTTTGGAAGCAGAGGAGTTATCTCCCGACACTAGATTCCTGGATTCAACTAGGTATCAATTGAATTTACACAATGATGAAGAATCATCGGGTCTTCCAGCGTTTGTGACAACGTACAGAGTCTAGACTCGGAACCCACATTCAGTTGATTCAGTTGCTTCTGTGAACTAAGCCGGCGGTGTCGCTGAGAGGCTGCTATGCAGGCCGCTGCCATGTTGGGCGCAGCCGGGGGCCCTGGCCCCGGCGGCCCTGGCGCTGGCTTTGCGTGTTCGGTCGTGTCAGCAAGAGTGACGATAGCAACCTCTTACTATGGCTGCCATGGCCCAAGAAAGCAAAGACATTTCCATGCCAGGCTGAAAACACAACCGTTTGGGTCCTTTTCGTATGCTACAGGTGGTTGACGTAGCATGACCCTTCGACCTTTTTGGAGGTACTTGTCATTGTTGCCTTTATCAGTATAATCAGCATGTGTCCAAAGACGGAGGTCAAGATCATCATGGCGGCAAGCTTGTGGCTACCCGCGGCTGCAAGCACTTATTAAATCCCTACCCGGTACCATTTTTTGGGGAGACCTAAAAACATGTACAGTAACTTACAATTTTCGAGGGACCCCGTACATGATCATAAATGTAGGTTGACCCCCCTCGTTTTTGGCCATGGTCCCCCCCGGATTTTTGCTGTGTGTTGCTTGTGTGTTCCTGGGAATTTACCAGGAAATGAGGAGGTGGCTGGCATGTGTTAACATGCAATTTCAGGGAAGGGGCTGGATTGGGGTTTAGTGGCTGTACAAAAGGATGCAAAAGGTGCATGATTGAGTTTTCTTGGGCCCTGCTATTGTATTTCTATGGTTTCTCGGACACCTAAACCAAAGCAACTTACATCATATTGTACGTGGGGAGCTGTTGGCTGGGGATTGGGAAAGGCAGGGGTACCCTAACCCTGCCTTGCTTGGGCCTTCCTAGCTTACAGCAGCTTGCTTGCATAATAGAAGGTAAATTCTTCAGTTCCCATAGCTTGTTCTATTGTATTCTATGGTTTTCTGGTGGCCTAACTCAAGGCAGCTTACATTTTCCCGTCCTTGAGGGTGATCTGAAACAAATGTAAGTTACATTTTGTTAGGCTCTTGGAAAAAGGTAGCCTACTTCTTTTAACGCTTACCTGGAAACATGTCAGCTTACACTTTTTAGGTTCACTTTCCATGCCCCTCTGCGAGATATTGTAACTTACACTTTTTGGTCCACCCCCTTCACAAGTAGGGATCTTGTAAACTCCTCCCTATGCCCTATGCTTTCTCCAATTCCAGTTTTTCTTCAGGCTGCACCTGGAATGCTGGAGGCCTTTTCACTTGATTGCTGTGTGAAACAGATCGGAACTTCCGTCATCTCCACTACGTGCAGATGGAAGTTTGGCATCTGCGCTTGAACATGGTGGGTCGAAGCGCAACCTGTTCCAAGCACTCGGTCCCGAAACGATCGGAGATGGTGGTATTGTTTGACCTGGGGCGACCTGAGTATGTCCAAGAGTCCAAGATAGTGCGACCTTCCAAGAGCGCACATATAGTCAGTTGTGATGTTTTTGGAGGAAAGCCTCCGGTAGATTTGCATCGTTTCTGAATCTCGGGTGGCTGATTGTTTCAAGCCACACTGCAAGATGCGCAGGCAACCTCGGCTATTGACTTCTCCAGCAAACTCGAGGACAGTGGATCCACTGAAGAAAAGAGTCGAAGAATCGAAGAGAGCCTGCCTATTCATCAAGATACACTTATGGCGGACATGATTTTGGGACAACCCGTGTATGAATACTGAATACTGTACTTAAAATACCATCGTCCTGCTTTGTATTGCCGGATTTCCTGATTTGTGGTACTAGGACTTGCGGCGAAAGCACCCTCAGGCAGCATCTGGATGGAACTTTGAGATGGTTTGCAAAAGACATCTTCAAGCCATCAAGTTTCGCCGTTTCGCCATTTGAAAGGTCAGTTTATAGTGACGGCCAAATAGATAGAAACTTTTTTGGCAGGGTCCTTTTTACGCTTTTTTTGGCGTGCTTTTTTTGGAAAATGTGCTAAAAAATTCTATCTTTGGTATCCCTGCATTTTTTCCAGCAAACGCTAGTTTTTCCTTTCTGTGCTTTGCTTTATGCTTTCGTTTTGTCCTTAAATGCTGGTGTTGTCCTTTCTGTGCTCTCTGCATTTTTGCTTTATGCTCTCGTTTTGTCCTTAAACGCTAGTTTCTGCTAGTTTAATCTATATAAATCTAGCTATCCTTTCACTTTGTCTTATCGTTTTGGGTTTTTCTGTCATGTGTACCCAAAAGGTTAGCTGCTGATGCCATGTAAAATGTTCATTGGCATGTCTAGATGTGCGTTTCTATCTTTGGTATCTATGCATAAAACCCTGTCAAAACGTAGTTTTCCTTTCAGCATTTCTTGGAATGTGTATGACTTTCACTGCAAAAACTGGAGGGAAACCAAACATTGACAAACAAACAATTATGATGTGCGCGTTTCCATCTTTGGGGTAGCATGGAAAAAACACATAGGATTAAACAATATCGAGTTGATTCCGGTGTATTCTCCCAGGGTTTTCTCTTAAAACAAACATAAAGTCCTTTCCCATTACCCTGGTGAATCCGTTTTAAACAACATATTTTAATACAATATAGCATGTTTCAAGTGATTTTCTGCTGAAAATGTGCTAACAGCCTTGAAGAAGTCAATTGCTAAAGCCGTTTAGCACATTTTCAGCAGAAAATCACTCGAAACATGATATATTATGCTTAAAAAGATATGTTTGAAAGGGATTCAGCAGGGTAGTGGGAAAGGACGTGATGTTTTTTAAGGAGAAACCCTGGAAAAAACACCAGATTCTACTTGATGTTGTCTAATCCTATGTGTTGTTCCATGCGACCCCAAAGATGGAAACGCAAACACACTGAAACATACTGATTTTGTTTCCATCTTTGGTTTCTCTCCAGTTTTTGCAGTGAAATACTAAAGATGGAAACTTTACCGCCATTTCCAAAAAAAAGCGTCAAAAAAGCGTCTGATTTTTGGCGAAATTGAGTTTCTATCTATTTGGCCGTCACTATAGTCAAGCCTGTCCGGAACAAGTTGGAACTTTGCCACAAGTAGGTGGATGTAGGTGGCCTTTCAAAAGAATAACAGTAGAAAAGATAGTTTTTCCACTTGACAGCTCTAGAGTAGCATGTGATGGGAACCCATGGCCATGGCCCTTCAGATTGACAATGAAGGGAAGATGTGGCCAGATGGAAAAAAACCTCCACATTGATGCTTTGAAGGAAAGTTGGGGACGCATGGGGATGCTGGATGCATCGATACAAGATGACAGCAGCACACCTTACGCAACAGTTGATTGCCCAGTACGCGCTGTGAGAATTGATGTTAGATTGAAACTTTACCTATACGTCTCGGTGTGAAAGAACGACCGTGGAACAGCACACAGCACAATTGACCTGTTTCTGAGACCTCATCGACTTGGCTTGGACAACCCACAGCCAGTAACAAGGACGCTACTAGGGGGTCCTGGCATTGCTACGAGGAGCAATGTTTGCTACTAGGGGCTCCTGGCCCTACTACTTGGAGCAAGGACGCTACTAGGGGATCCTGGCCTTACTACTAGGAGCAAGGACGCTACTAGGGGCTCCTGGCCTTACTACTAGGAGCAAGGACGCTAGGGGCTCCTGGCCTTACTACTAGGAGCAAGGACGCTACTAGGGGCGCCTGGCATCGCTACGAGGAGCAATGTTTGCTACTAGGGGATCCTGGCCCTACTACTAGGAGCAAGGACGCTACTGGGGGCTCCTGGCCCTACTACTAGGAGCAAGGACGCTACTAGGGGCTCCTGGCCTTACTACTAGGAGCAAGGATGCTACTAGGGGCTCCTGGCCATACTACTAGGAGCAAGGACGCTAGGGGCTCCTGGCCATACTACTAGGAGCAAGGACGCTACTAGGGGCTCCTGGCATCGCTACGAGGAGCAATGTTTGCTACTAGGGGCTCCTGGCATCGCTACGAGGGCTACTAGGGGCTCCTGGCCCTACTACTAGGAGCAAGGACGCTACTAGGGGCTCCTGGCCATACTACTAGGAGCAAGGACGCTAGGGGCTCCTGGCCTTACTACTAGGAGCAAGGACGCTACTAGGGGCTCCTGGCCATACTACGAGGAGCAATGTTTAGGGGCTCCTGGCCCTACTACTTGGAGCAAGGACGCTACTAGGGGCTCCTGGCCATACTACTAGGAGCAAGGACGCTACTACGCGCTCCTGGCCCTACTACTAGGAGCAAGGACGCTACTAGGGGCTCCTGGCCATACTACGAGGAGCAATGTTTGCTACTACTAGGAGCAAGGACGCTACGAGGGGTTCCTGGCCCTACTACTAGGAGCAAGGACGCTACTAGGGGCTCCTGGCCTTACTACTAGGAGCAAGGACGCTAGGGGCTCCTGGCCTGCTACTAGGAGCAAGGACGCTACTAGGGGCTCCAATTCCAGGTGAAAGTGCCCTCAGATGTCCGGGGACCCAACACGCGAGGTGGGGGCCATGGTTTGGAAGGCGGATGAGTCAACGCGGGAGTCAACACTTCAGCTTTTCCCCGTCTTCCTCCCCAAAGTGAGGGTCAAAGCAAGTCAAAATACCACTTGTTCCTACAGCAGACCATAGCCGACATGTCAACAGATGTTGTTCCTACATGTTCCTACAACTCGCAACCATCACAACTACATTGTCCACAAAAACAATCACCAATGCTTTTGGAGTCGACGAGCGAGGCCTGGACATGGAAGCCAGAGGAGCTGGAAGCCTGGTTCGCCAGTGGCGGCACCACCAAGGCTGCCTGCCTTGGCCCGTGGGGGGTGGGTGGGCGGATGGGGGGAGAGGCTCAAGATGTGCGCGATGCTGTGGCCCACTTACAACCAACCTAATAGCAGCGATGGCCTCCAACCTACTAGCAATGGCCTCCAACCTACAAGCAATGGCCTCCAACCTAGAAGCAATGGCCTCCAACCTAATAGCGATGGCCTCCCAAAGAATTGCATGATATTGCATGAAGGTTTCAGGTACAGTTCACTGTCAGGTATCTTTTGCAGGTTGCACTCGCTTGTCTTTTGCACTTCTGCTGTGATCTGATTGCTTTGCCGGGTCAACTCTTCACCATCAAATCCAAGGACTGCTTGACTGATTGAACTAGTACTTTCATTTCCCTCTCATTGATTTGTCATTGCTGCATCTCCCAACACTTTGATACACTTTGTGTGCTTACGAAGGGATTGTCAAGAGCATTCAGACTGGTTGTGGATCCTCATCAGGGGTGCAGGGCTTTGACCAACAGCCACATTTTGGTTGTTGCTTGAGAGAACAGGTGAGGATGTATAGTCAAGAAGGGCGGTCATCCAAAAGATCACCGCAGGTTCTGTCAGTTTCCGCGGACCTTTGTGGATTCTGTTCTCGAAGTAGTTCCACCAGCACACACAAAGTGAGGCTGGATGTTTGAACCTGGTGGTACTGTTTCATGCGTGTCCAACAAAGCAACCCAAAATGACTCGACTCCGTGGGTGTTCTTCGATCAATTTGTCGATATCCACTTCTGTGACCGCTGTGAACAGGTGGGATCCAAGGACGCTACTAGGAGCAAAGGGCATCGCTACTAGGAGCAATGACGCTGCTAGGGGCTCCTGGCCTTACTACTAGGAACAAGGACGCTACTAGGGCGCTACTGTGGCATTCACCATTCTAATCCTTCTGGGACTGCTGTGAACAGGTGGGTGCCCAAGTGAAGGAGCAGCCCAAGGAAACCGCGAAGGAACCGCCCAAAGAGCCGCAGACCCCGCGGAAGCGGAGCCACGGCGAGGCTGGGACGTTGAGGGATGTTCGATGCTCCCAACTTAATAGCAATGGCCTCCAACCTAGTAGCAATGGCCTCCAACGTAATGGCGAGGGCCTCCAACCTAGAAGCAATTCCCTCCAATCCAATAGCAACTCCACCCCAAGAGCGATGGCCTCCAACCTAATAGCGACGGCCTTCAACCTATTAGCAATGGCCTCCACCCCAGTAGCGAGGCCTCCAACCTAGAAGCAATGAGAGGGCTCTGGGGATTTGCTTTGCAAGTGTTTGCAGTCCGAAAGGAGCTCCTAGTACACATTAGGCACTCACAAGCTCTGTGTGTGTGTGTCTAGCCCATTGATATTATTTGCATGTCTGAAGCCATAGGACAAATATCTGACATATCATGAGTGTATTTATCTTGCCCTTATAACTATAACTATGAAGAAAGTGACTTTCGCACAGACATCATCTTCTTCATGGTTCCCGGCCCCACGCAGATCCTTTTGAAACTAGGCTCACCATGGAAGTGCAGTCTACACCATGCACAGTCTCCAATTTTTGCCAGGCTTTTGGTTTCGACATCCAAGAAACCCTCCAACTTCAGCCTGACCCCTAGGAACAATGTGGGAAGGGCTACAGGGTTGGAGGCCATCGCTACTAGGGTGGAGGTCATCGCTATTGGGTTGGAGGCCATTGCTAGTAGGTTGAATGCCACCGCTAGTAGGTTGGACCAGGCGGTTCGAGCGAGACTTGGTACCTGTGGATGAATGTTACCGTGGATGGGGCAGTACCTGTACCTATATAACATACCAAAAGGATCCAAAAGGACACTTCCAATCTTGTGCGGCAAAGAGAGCATCCACGTGATTCCATGATGAGATTCCGTGAGTACCCTCAAGGTCCAGGTTCCAGGATAGTCCAATAGTCCAGGAGTTGGTCCATCAGAATGAGTCCAGCGGTGGCGCTGAGACGAAGAAATGGGCATAGAGGCATGTTGATGTGCAATTCAAACATATACAAAGTGTATTCTTGTGCAAACCAAGCCAAAACGATGGTTTCGTGGTGCGACAAAAAGTGACAATTTGTTGCTTGAGTCCCTCCTTGAATCACAAGGCTCTGGAGTCAGGCTTTTTATGTCATAGGTGAATGTTCATTCATCCCAGTAAATTTGGATGGTCACCTCTTTTGGAGCAGCAGCTTGCACGGCAGCTTGCAGCCTCTCCCGAGGCAGCAACTCTTGACCAGCTTTTCAGAGACAGACTTCCAGGAGATGACGGTGATTGATCAAACATCGGGTTTTTGCGCATGTGGCATGGGGGCGCGCACACACCTTAGCAGCCTTAGCCTTCGTTTGAGGCCAACGGTGTGAACATTTTCACCGGTTCCGCGGCCGGATGCCGCCTTTGGGTTTTTGTTCGGCCAGGAGAACTTAAAGCAACTCCAAGCACAACATCCCGAGCGCAAGACCAAGGGCCATTATGATAGTGCGGCCTACTTGGAGGCCGGGCTGGGCAAGGTTCCTTGGGGGCGGGTGAAGCACCGCAGGCACCCCGTGCGAGTTCTTCTCGCATGGTTCACCTCGAGGCGCTGCCGCTCGTCACCAGCGGTGTGCGGAAAAGATCCCAGTTCTCGGCTGCGCTCGCAGCTCCGTGCTGTCAGGTCGGCCATCTGGGCCGTCCACAGACGTTCCCAGGGAATGATGAGCGCAGAGGACGTTTCAGAGATCGGCCAGGCGAAGGCTAAGGTTAAGACGGTTGAGGCAGTTGAGCAGTGAGAATTCTTAGGAACATGAAATGCTTAACGACCTGATGCATGGGCCATTTGGGCCATACTATGCCATACTCCTTCATGTCGACCTTGTTCGACCTTGTTTCTGGGACTTGCCTCGCGTGACGGCTCCACCCCCTGTGGAGCACCGAACCTCGGTGGGAGCAATGAGGTTTGGCGGCAATCGAGAACTTCGAGGTCCGCAAGGAGCTATTATTAGGCGAAGTCTACCCACGGACCTAGAGCAAGTCTCCTTTTTCTTGCCCATGGCAACCAGTTGATTCTGCGGTGGTGTCAGGGCTTTATGGCCGAAACTAGTGTCCGCGTCTAACAAGCCCGGACCAAGTGTTTTTGTTTTTGTTCTGTTTATCTTACGTTCATGTGAGAACATTCTACTTGGCAACCTTCGATCTACGACTGTAACCATGTTGTGAAAGATGCCGAAGGACCAAAGTGATACAGGTTGGCGGACCCAAACTTCTCAAAAGCTTTTAGCTGAACATGCAACTTCGCAGCTAGTCCCCAACACTCAGGGTTTTGGAGATGTCAATGCATCAGTGAAAGGGAAAAATATGACATCCCTTTAGAGCCCTGGAATGCGGATGCAGTGCTCAGTGCAACGCAGGCCTCAGATGACGTCCACGAAATATTTGCCATCAAGCGGTGTCTGCCATTCCAGCCAAGCTTCCAGACAGTGTGTCAAAGAATCAGTTAGCTTCAAGAACCCTCAATTTGGGTGGATGAGCTGGGTGTGCCAAAAGATGTTACGTAACCGCTGTTTGTTCGTCCTGCGATTTCAATGCTAGACTGCCAGACCTGGCTTGTTTTCGTGTGCGAGAACATAGATACAGTACTTTCAGTTTCAAGGTGGGTTTCAGTACTTTCCCGAACTGAGCAGAGTGTCCAGATATTTCCAGATGTTTCAGTGTTTAACAGCTTGTTGCTATTGTTTTCCGCACTCATGGGGCGCACCCTATTGCTTGCTTGGCCTGTCGTTCATCAATTCAGGGCAAACACTTTGCCGTTGCAGGTTCTCAATATGCGATTGTCTTGCAACTTGGCGCAACCAGTTGCTACCCAAGGAAACCTGCTGGGTTTCGAGACTGGTTGCGGCCTACCTGAGCTCAAAAACTCCATTCTTGTTCAACTAGTGGAGGACATTGCTGAGGCCCTAGAGTCTAGTTCTCTAGCTTTCACGCCAGTCAAGTATTAATAATTGCAGTTGCCATACCTCTCGATCACTCCTATTGAGGCCACACTGTAAATTCATATTACGTATATCAAGAAAGATGCAACTTTTCCTGTGTGATCTGTGTGGCACTTGTCAAGCTTCTGTAGGGTTTTGTATTCAATGCCCCCGAATCCCAAGTGAGGGATCATGAGTCATACCACCGCATTGGAAGTTTGACTTCGATTGATCCTGCCTTCTGACTTCGCATGGGGTGCCCCCTGCGTCATTTCGCTGGATCGCACACGATGCCCTTGGGCTACCTGGTTGCGACCAGGGCATTGGCGAAGCCACCTGAGACCGGAGACCTGGGGCAGCCACTTGGAGGGCCGCCAGCTCTGAACTCCCATGTTCGGTGGCGACCCTGGTGATGGTTGGTGGTGACCTTGTCATCTCCCAACAAGACCATGAATGAACGCACAAATCTCTGGGGATATGAGGCACTCCAGCAACTGAACGGATCACATTAAACACTGCTGTAGCTTCCACTCAAGTAGACAGTACCAGCATGTGTGCAGTGCGGATGCCATTGGGGATTGGCCTCAGGGTGTTCAGTAGCAAAGCGTGAGGGTCTAAAAATCTACTAGTCCTTTGCCGGTTAGCTTCGGGTCTATAGTATAGTCTATAGGAACCAGATCCTTATCTCCTAATCCTGATGGGAGCATTGTTGCACACTGTACAGGAAACACCTACAACATCCTACAACCAATAGATCCCAAACCACAGGCGCAAATCGACACAAGCAACAGATACCTGCAAATATCTACAGATGAACAGATGCATTCTGGTACTCTTGCGTAACGCTTCTCCATAATTAGTCCTGCTTAAACTCATGCTTCGATCTCTCCTTGTTGAGCGTCCTGGACCGCACCCGGTCGCAGGCCTTCAACGCTTTGGCCTTCACGGTCTACGCCAAGGCCCGGGAAGTGAGGACAAACAGGTTGGGAAGCGAAGAGCATGGGGAGTCTAAGATGCACCGGGACCGTCCCCAAACAGATCCATTCAATATGGAGAAGCTCAAGTGAATTAAAAGTTCTCCTGCAGATGTTCCATGCTTCATGGCAAGTTGATAGATCTCCCTGCAAAAGTTCACAAGACGGTACGTCACGATACGTTACGTGCATTTTCAATGTGTTGATCTAGACTGATGTCTCTCAAACGGTCAGATCTCTGCTTCCTTCAGGTGCTTCCGGACTGGAAGTTAGCGGCCACCTGGGATGGCGTGCGAGAAATGCTCAGCAAAACGCACGAGGCACAGGCACATCCCAAGGTGCGCCAGTTGGCCGGTTGAGGACGGAGTCCAGTTTTTGCACGGATACGTGTTAAGGCTGGATTGAATGGAGAACTTAAGGTCTAGTGGCAGGTTTCTTGTTCTAAGTCCAGTGGATGGGTGAGTTTCCCGGTTACGCTTTGAGAGCAAGCTGCCGCTGCCATGTAGGAATGGCAAGATCCCCTTGCAGTGCTGCCGTTGTGGATGTGGGACATGCCGGCACTTTCTATTGGTCTGAGCAGGTGGATGAGGTGGATTTGCCTTGATACATATCTCACAGAATTGACTTTACTAAAGTTTGCATGCACACGTTTACATGCAGGTGAGAAAGGTGCAGGAAGAGATCAATGTCATTATGGGTCTGCTCGGGTGCCTATGTTGAGAGAAAGAGCAATGCGGAGGGCAATCTATGCCTCGAGTGCTGGAGGGCAGAAAGAACAGACACAGGGTTGTGGATGGGGAGGTTGTACCGTTCCTGGAATCACAAATGTCGACTTCCAGATTGTGAAAGCACTTGGGTCAACTCTTTTTGTGGCAAAACGTCCTCACCCGTGTCTCGATTACTCCCGCAACTGAATTATAATAGTGAATTACAATTTACCACTGTATGACTGTATGCTTCTTTGGATGCGGTTTTATTTTGAGGATGTTTCAATGCTGCAACAAATCCAGTAGCCATATCTCAGAGGTGAAATTGTCGGAAGACTGAAACATATTGAGACATGCCCATGTTGGAAGACCTCTCCACACCAGGTAAATGTAAATCCCCCCTTTTACTCCGTCCTGCTAGTTGTAGTTAGTCGTTTAGCTGTCCATTCTAATTGTATAGCTTACTGCACTGCTGACAGGGTACCCTTCTAGGGCCCACTTTCCTGAAAGAAGAAACAAGGAAAGAGCCTTGGCACCACAAAAGGTAGCCAGTCTATCTTTCAGATCCTTCAACGAATCAGGTACGAACCTGTGTCTGATACCTCCCTTTCATGCCAGCCGAGGCCACGGAACGTTTGCTTCACCCCGTGTCTCGGCGGGTGACATCTGGGAGGTCGGTGAAGCACGAAGACGCGATGGTCCGAAGAGGTGGAGCTTTAGTTAATTTATCTTTAATTTAATTCTAATAGCTTCTTGTTACTAATAGTAAGGCACTTGTTACTAGTAGCGATGCACTTGTTACTAGAAGCGATGACGTTTGGGGATGTTTGGGGATGTTTGGGGAGTACGTTCAGTCTTGGTAGACGCGGATCATTTGCGGGACTGTGGCCCGAGAAGGAGAAAGGACATATGACAATGGTACTGACAACCAATGTTTGCTCCAAAATTCACATGCATCAGAACCAAAATAAAGCTGAAGGCTGTCTGAGGCAGGGAAGGGAAACGCAAGCAGCTTGCTGAGCTAGCCCATAGCCTCAGCAAGTGTATCTTCTTTTGACTTGGTCCCAAAGGGAGTAGTTTCACTAACCTCTGTGTGTTTTCCTCAAAGGCGTGGTCCAAAGAGGGTTCAACATGCGAATCCTAACGGGGGGAACGCAAGGGCCTTGAATGTGGAGCAAATTTGTGGTTTAGATGGAACTCAACTGCGGAGATGGATGAAGAGCCATATAAAGACACCCTACACATCCCTACACCATTTGTGCTCAGCAGCAATTTCAGCGACCCGCAGATCGGTCCAAAAAGCTGCTCTCCGAGGCCCTCCAAGAACTCAGAGTTCTTGTTGATCTTCAGGTCCCATCGACGAACACACGCCGTCGGTGGGTTCGGGGGAATGATTTGAACACACGACCGTGCTGGGCCGTGGCTGGAATGTTTCTTCCTTTATTGCTTAAATTGTTTCTAATAGCGATGGCCTCCATCCTATCAGCGATGGCCTCCAACCTACTAGCGGTGATGTGAGGAGACCATATATGGCGATGGTCAAAGGGGTCCGGACTTTGGTCGAGATGGAACTCTGGATTTGCCTGGCACGTGTGCTTGGAAAACAAAGAGTGACTGGATAGGGGTGTGTTCTGTGTGTTCGAGAGGGGAGATCAGTTTGGACATGTTATTGTTAGGAACATTTCTCTGCGGTTGAATAACGCAACACCATGGAAGTTCTTTCAGACTGGAAGATAGAGTTCAAACTTCAAAAATGCCCCATCCTCTTATTGTTCTCTTTTGCCGGAAAACAATCCAGGGGTAAATTGTGGCATTCCGAGAGTGTGTGTTAGTCATTTCCAACTTATTTTCCCCACCTGCCAGGTGAGGGTTGTTAGATTTTATCACAGTTGTTCTTCCTCCTCCTCCTCCTCCTCCTTCCTTCCTCCTTCCTCCTTGCTTCCTTCCTCGCCAATCTTCATCGCCAATCTGC